CATAATTCAATTTTAATTGAATATCATTCTAAATATCGTGAAAAAACTCAATCATACCTTTTCTAAAAAATGATTTAAATCCTTGTGCTTATGATTTTATAATATGACTCATATCGCTTGAAATAAAATTTAATATCTTTAGTAGCATATTTATTGACAAACCATTTACAGCATTGTTTTTAAGAAAAACAAATTTAATAAAACAATTTTAAATGTACACTTTTCTTTAATTTGTATATATAAAGGGAAAAAGCATTTTATTTTCATTATTCCTTACTGAGTTGATCTTTTTAATTCATTATATAAATATTATGTAATCTTGAGAATAATTTTAATACAAATTTGCAGTATGAAACACCTCTTATAAGGAATTGAAATTTAGTTCAGTTAATCAGATTAATTTATAGTTAAGTTATAAAAATATACATAAAACTGTTGTATTGTCATCGAGAAGAACAGTTACAACAAATTTCAAAAATCAAATTACATCACTAATAAAATTTGCTTATCACACAGCTTGCGAGTGTTTTGTTTTGTTTGTTTATATTTAAATCTTGAATAATTCAATCCAAGCCCAGTGAATCAAATTACATATTCATGGTAAATCATTTAATTATATTTTCTGGGTAAAGGTTAACCCGTTTTAAAGGAATCATTGTTAATCTATTAACGTACAAAATGATATTTGTCTTCATTACAAGAAATTCGAAAAATTTACTCTAATAAATGAATTTCTAAGGAATTAAATTTTTTAAACTGTATTCTTAGCTTTAATATTTTCATTCAAATAAACACAGATTTAGTAAAAATATAACAGATTAAAATTATTTCAGAATCTTATTTTGAAAGTTCAGCGTGTAATTCTTTTCGAAACATTTGAAGCTTCCTGAGCGAAATCAGTGCATCACTGTCAGCCATGAATAACCGTTCCCTCCCAGGAAACCCTTGTTGAACTCCTTTACTACCCAAACCCTAGTTTGTGCCACGCCCGAAAATCCCGCCTGGCATTATAGAACCTACCAAGCCAGCTGGGGCGGGTGTCGTCATAATGAGTGTTAAAAAATATTCAGTTTTGCCGACAAATTTTTGTTTTGTGTTAAATTTACACGGGTCCCCGTTCTAATAAAGTTATCTCTTTCATTTTTTTGAGGTAATGGGTGGAATCTTCCCTGATTTAAAACAAGAACGGTTAAAAATATTTTTTATGGTTGAATATTAATGAATTTTTTTTTTCACAAGTGTTAAATATTTTCGCTCTACTTTCCTCGATTCTTCTGCTTAAAGGTCGCCGCGTATATTTCCCCAGCATGCATTCGATGAAACCACGCTGACGTCATAATCCAATTTACTTGCTGAAAGATTGCAAGCTTTTAAAAAAATTGTTGAAATTCAGGATGTTACGGGCAATGCCGTGAGGTGTACTGCCGACATTAAATATCACCGGACTCTGCTCGTATTCCTTGGCAATATCCCCTCATGATTTTAGTTTCACGAAATAGTTCAAAGAATGGTGCTGACATTAAGGCTCCAATGAAGACGAGGGTTGTGCTACACTGATTTAAGTTACCTTTTCTTAAAGACAGCCTCTCAGACCATTATTAAAGAACCCAATATTAATGGAAACATAAAAGAAACTAAAAAATCAAGAGAAAAGCCTTTTTTATATGAGAAGAGAAATTAAAGAGAAAAGCTCTTCCCATCGTGTTAACTGCTATTTAATTCTTCATTAATTTAAGTTCAAACGCTTCGTGGACAATGTAACAGATTTTGCTCAAAAACATTCATAAACTAATTGGCACGGATCATTTATGACATTTATAAAGCCTCATTATAAGAAAGCTGTTACAAACTGTTGGCAGGATGATAGGGTAGGATGGATATTATATTTTAATGGCACAAGACCCAGGTTTGGCTAGGATGCAGAGCACATCTACAGTTATAAACACCAAAACATGTGATAAAATCTTTAAACAGAGATATGATGAAGGTTGATATAAAACCATTAACAGGCGTTTAATATTTAAAACAATAGAACTAAAACAGTAATGCCACCACAGACACAAAGTAAAATAGCAAGACATTTCCTATTAACACAGATGATGTACAATGTTGCTACAATATTGTAACAAAATTGCTTTTATTAAGGTGCGTGAGTGAATGCAATCAATAAGCAGGATTTAAAAATAAAATACTTTATTTACAAGTATTCCCAAGCAAAACGTAGCACAAGTATTAGCACAGCATAGTAAAAATTCACAACAGAGACTGCCAATAAAATCTCAACACAGCGCTCAAAGGGTTTCTTGTTAACTCATCAACTTGCTTGCAAGGGTCAAATTCCAACTAGCTCTTATTGACACTTACTATACTTTTTCCAGCAGGAGTGACTTCATTACGTAGGAAGTGACGTAATCTCTAAGTTCATGAAACCAGTGAAATAGGTGGAACGTTTGAGTTCCTTCAGAAAATTCCCTTTGTACCAAGTCGCCAACGCCGCCAAGTCTCCAAAATAATGGTCGCCAAGGTTGCCAAATTTATCGACAAATCTAGCATCTCAAAGAAACGACTTTATAAGCTTTGTAACAATATCTTCACGATATTTTACGGCATTCTAATATCGAACAATATCGTAGAGATATCAGACAATATCTTGTGCTAATAGGGTTCTTACGGACAAATTCCTAGAAAAGAAGTGTAGTAAACTTTGGAAAAAAGATTCAGTACTTCTGAGAAAAGCGAATAAGCGGAACAGCGGCACTCTTTTAATAAAACAATGAAATCGTTAGGTGAACATGCGTAGCGAAAGGGGAAGAAAAGGCGGAATAGATCTCGTCCGGAAATCTTCTTTTTTTTGTCATTGAGTAGTAATAGAACTTAAAATATTTATCTAAAGGTTCTAGACTCAGCTTGCCTAGTGTGACGTCTCGGCCTTGGGTACTGGTGGGTTGCGGGTTCAAGGTCCACAGGTATGCAGGCCAAACGCACCTGAAATCTTCTGGGTGGAAGTTGAGAGACGGGGTTGCTTGTTGAGGATGTCGCCGTCATCGTCATCAGATCAATTGCGAGATGAGTCCCAGAATAGTCATCTCTAATCTCAAAACTAAATTTGATTCAACCCTAAACTACTTAATACTTCAAAGCATCTGCTCCGAGCATCACATGTTCTACGAAATATGAACGCATACTGACCAAAAGGACCATTTGACAGGCGGGATTAGATTTTTAAAATGCTCTAAAAGTGTATTAATAGTGTCAAATGTTTTACATCGTCTGTACTCTTTAGCGGTAAAAAGAATAGGCATTCCACCACCCTATTTTCCAATTCTACTATTGGTTCACACTCTCCTATATATATTTATTTATATATCTTGTTCCAAATTTTCAGTCGTTAATAAATACTTTTTTATTCATCCCTCAAGTTCAAATACATTTTTTTAAAACATGATGGGTAACACTTGATGTTAATACAGGTTTTCAAATATTAATTCATTAATTAAATTTATTAATTGACATTTTATTTATTCTAACCTCGCACAGGCTACGATCATAGTGTTAGGGATAAGAAATGCGAAACGGGATCGATGGCGCAACGGTAGCGCGTCTGACTCCCAGATCAGCAGGCTGCGTGTTCAAATCTACGTCTGGGTCGAAGATTTACCAAGACATATCATTTTGCACTTAATTTATATTCTGAAAATATCTCTTGTTTGGCAATTGCATCCAGGCTTGTTAATACGAAAATGTGTTACTTCGTTAAAGCATCTCTTGCTGAAATTTATAAATCATTTTTCGTAAACTCATTAACAATATGTGTGATCTGGGATACAGAGATTGCGCAGTCGCCATAAACCAAATGGGGTTAGCTTATATGTTTGGCAGCAAGAGAATCTTCCGTACGTTCTCAGAATAGACCTCATTTCCAATTTAATTGTGCCAGGTGGCCTTTGGATGTGTACAGGACGATCCGGACCACATCCCGTCCACCACGGTGGGAGCCAGGATGCCATAGTGTATATCAAAACTGATTTCTTTTGGTTTATTAAAACCTTCTTATTCTTTGTTCACAAATTCTTCATTTCTGATGACAATCTATTTTTCAATTCATTTCATCAATTAGCAAACAACTCTCTTCACTGCCGAAGAATATTTGCCTCATCCACAGAAGAGACCATTTAAATTTTTTAACCTTGCTATCTGTTTTTCGAGCTATCAAACTATTCCGAGATCCCATTTTTGAATCAAATTTTGCTCATAGATAACCAAAATTCATGTACGACTACTGAGTTAGGAACCCCATCGTATAAGAACCTTTGCCATAAAGTGGGACTCATCACAGGTTCATGCATTGATACAAGATGATCTTTCAGGCATAGGGTTTCTCCTTCTTCTTATGTTTACGTTTCAGTCAGTTGATGATATTTCGTTTTGGATATGTGGTTTCGAGATCTTTGCGGGTTTCTGATTTTCAAAGATTCAGGCTTGTGATTCCCAGGCAAAGGAAACCCTGGAAGGTTACTTTCAGAGGCTTTCTGCTTCTTGGAGCCTGATTATAGTGTTGATTTTAGGCATTAGCCTGTAATCTCAGAACAAACTGACGCAATTTGTAAATATTTTACCTCGCAATCTAAAAACAAAATTAGATTTCTGGCCACAGCTGCAGAATACCATTTCTGCATTCTGAAGAGTTAGGTAATCGGATCTCGTTTCCCCTTTATTCAGTGCACTCAAACAGCGACATCCATGCAGTTTAGAAATCTAGTTTTCCATATACACATCGATTCAGTTCATACTTTGAAACGGCGATGAGCATTGTTAGGTAAGTTTAATAAACGGAACTTGAAAAAAAAAAATAATTTACTCTGAATGACTTGTAAATATTCTTAGTTTTCTTTTTGCTTTCAGTGCTTCAGTTCAAAGGAAGTTGAACAATTGGTTCCTTTTTTCCCTCATAATGACTCATAAGGAACATGGATATTATTCAGGAAAAATTATAACGGACATAATCTGAGAGAAAGAAGGAACTCAATTACATAGTAGAGAAATATTATGCATTATAAAGATCTTACTAAATGGAAAAACAGGATAAAAATGAGGAAGAAGAAGATGCATTCCGACAAATTCTACACTTGGGATAATTTTTTGATGTTGCTTCTCGAAATAAAACTTTATCAGTCCTTCACTAAAGTCTGACTTCTTTAAAACATTGATGCATAATCGGTAACCGTTACGCGGGTTTCTCCTTAATGCTGAGGATATGAGGAAAGGAGTCTTGTCTAGGGATAGGGGAAAACCTACCGGTTTTAAACCGAAAACCGGTTTTTGTGCTGGGGTTAAACGGTTTTTTTTCGGTTATTTTTTTTGCCCAAGGTTTAAGCCGGTTATTTTTTTTAATCAAAAAACCGGGGGAGGTCAGAGGAATAAGCTCAATTTTTTTAGGTTCGACTAGACTAAATTTATCAGAGGTTATAAAGCTGTGAATTCAGTCTCAACTTACGGAATCACACCGACAACCGCTTCCTCGAGGCGTCTGTTGATTGGCGGATTACTGAAAGAGTCTTTATGAACAGATAAATATGGCCAATGGTTTTGATTCATGCAAAAACAACACTAATAAAAAATTATAAATGCTACAAACTACGTCTCTGTTTTGTAGTCAAAAAATATTTATCTTTAGTCGGAAGTTTTTTGTGGCGTCCGACAGATTAGTATCTACGTTAGTTAAATGATGTTATTTCCGATGAGGAGGCGTCAGCTAACTGATCAACACATTACCGAAAGAGAGTCTTTATAAGCAAGATTAGATGATAAATATTGACAATGAATTGATTTCTTGTGAAAACAATGTTAATAAAAAATTTTTGTCTATATAATACTTACTTATTTCAATAATTACACATTTATTATTATTACTGTTAGCATTAATCACTTATTTATAATCATTACTTATTACATTTAGTTAATTATTGTATTAATACTTACTTATTGTATATTATTATTGTGAAAATTCTGTCCACCAACGTTGCTTTAAAAAAAAAATCGAAAACCGGTTTTCAAAACCGGTTATTTTGAGCGGCTTGTAACCGCCAGATTAAACCGTAGGTGAAAAAAACCGGGTTTAACCGAAAACCGATTTTTTTATTCTTTTTTTACGCAGCAACCGCCATCCCTAGTTCTGTCGTCTCTCAGAACGATTGCGAATTCCTTCACGGTGCTTTTTCAGGCATTCGGTGGCGTAACGAGGGTGATGGCGTGGTCTGGAGCAGCAGTCAGGTATTTTGATTCCTCCACCCCAATCATCATTGGAGGTTCAGCTTAGGTTCGCGTCCCATGATAGTATCTGGCGCAAAAGTGAGCATGAACGCACTAACGTTTTGTCACCATGGCCAGTGGCTCCAGGTATACGGATTATGCGTTTTTGTTTTGCTAGTCGTCATTAATGGCAAGCGTGTAGTATACGTTTTATCCCCTCATCGTATTTTTGCTTTAAAAGAGAATATATACAGCAGTGGCGAATCTAGGGGGGGGGGCTGTCGGGAACACAACCCCCCAGAGCCAAGCCAGAATTCTTGATTTTATTTGGAAGAATCATTACAACTGTTTTCTTTGTTCCCTTTAAACCAAATAAAAAAGCGTTTTCAACATTGCTTTCTGGCTATACGGGCTCGAAATTTCCTACTTTGTAGTCATTCCATTTGTGTTTGTAGTTTTGACGCGGTCGAAGAAGACATTTTTTTATTAATTTATTTCATTGCAATTTTGTTAAATTATCGAAGTTATTGTATTGTTCTTTATGATTCTTATTGCCAGGTAGGTCAGGTCTGTAAAGTTAAACGGTTTTGGTTTTACTTTAGCCTTGAGGGTTTGACATTCGTCACGACGATACAAAATTGTTATGCCTCAGCCCCCCCCCCCCCAGACCAGATCCTGGGTCATGCGAACCAGTAATGTTTATGACTCCGCGACAAACCCTCAGACCATGCCGGGGCATCCACTTCTTGCCCCCCGACCAGTCATCAACGGTTTCTTCTATGACAATTAAGTCCAAGATTAGCCAGATTCAAGTCAGGCGCTCCAATATTTTTCAGTTTCAATGCTTCTGGCGCTTCATTTGCCGTGAGTTCCACCCACAATAAAAGGTTTGAGACACTACTCCAGAAGGCGCAACAGTGTTGTAATCCATTGTACCTACGTCAAAGATGCGAAATATTGTCACACTTACACTGTTCGTAATGCCAGCTCATGCCATCGAACCTCGGCCATAGCAGTGAAGTTCATAGACATTTTAGTAATAGTGAAAGTTGCTTCTCTATCGGCCTAAAATTTCTATAATCACTTTTGATGATCAGTGCAGGAGATTACTTGGAGGACATCGCCGTCCATCTTTTTCCAATGTCCTTACAGATCGCGTTGTAACTCCATTGAGAATAAAATATGAACAACTAGCGGAAGAGTGAACATAGCTGTGCCAAATTTTAAAGAAACGTAACGGCATGCAAATACTTACAATATTTTTGCAGCTGCGATCTACATCTCCTATCCGGCAATCAATCCCTATCTGTTTGATTTTAAAATAATACCACATTCAAATGCTTCGAACAATGTTTTTGAAATAGCGGAAAATTTTGGTTTTCGTTTACCCAACACTTGCTTTCTCCTGAATAATCTCAAACCCAAATCCTCGACGTATGTTATAGTTTATGAGCACCGTCTTTGATTTTCATTTGTCATGTATAATACATATCAAAGTTTTGTTTCGTTTACTAGAACGGTTTTTTTTTTTGCTTTTATTTTGTACACATTAGTGTACTTTATTATGTTCGAAGTCACCTTTTTTCATTCTTCAACGAATAATTTCATGTTCTCAAAAAGCTCGCTAAGAAATCACTCAGAACACTCTAAAAGAAGAGTAGTTGTACTCATTTATTTCTAGGCCGACACAATCTACGCAAAGGGTGAAAAGCGCGGAGGAAAAAAAATAACTTTCAGAAAGTTACAACAAAAGTCAGATTTTCTAAAGCAAAATCAGCTCGATTCAAAGCATCTTTCCAAAAGTCATAGATTTTCCATAGCCTTCCTAAGATCTAATGCATAATAAGAAATTTTGACATTAAAATGCTAATAACCTAGACCATGGACAACGAGCTTTATTTCAAGGAAAATCCGTAAGACACCGATGTTACACTGGATTATTTATAGCCACAACACCAGTTTATTTCTTGGTACATTAAAAAAATCCCTCCAAGCGATAAATTTAGAATCCACACCTTGGAAAACCCCTTTTCAAACGGCAACAGAAAATTCCTTTTAGCCACCGGCCTTCCCATCCATTTATCAAAAGAAAATTCACGGGCACTTCGAAATTTGAATGCTCGATCTCCATCAAAGGGATCGCTGTCTTCGTTTGCTTTGTTTTGAAGATCCTAAACTGTCTGCTCGGTAAAAAAAAAACGCACTGTTGATTAATCGCTCCACAAGTAGCATCAAAACCACAGCACAGATAGATTGATTGCCGGACGGATATCTGATATCCCATGCAAATAACGAGCCGACAGCGCTGCCCTTTCTCAACACATTTATTTTCCAACCTTGCTGTATCACAGCGTATCTGACGTCAGTTCTAATACGTAGGATAAAATAAAAGATCGTGCG